TCGACCTGGGCACCAAAGAAGTTAGTCGAGCGCCTTTGGCTTGGAGGAGATAGAAAGGGGGCCTACACTAGGCTCGACAGCCCTGCAGCTTCAGCTTTGCGGATGCTGGGGGAGGAGACTTGTGAGGATCAGAAGGAGGAGGACCATTTCGAGATCAAAGGCCCATATCATACACTCGACTTTGCTTTCGACTTCGTCGAAATGTGTGGAGGATCAGGAGTTCTTTCGGCGGCAGCAGCAAAGTTGGGTCTTCGAGTTTGCACCCCGATCGAGCTGAGCACTAGGAAGCACTTTGACATCCTCAACCCAAAGTTGCTTGACTGGATCACGCAGATGATTGCCGAGAAGAGGTTTAGGACTTGAGCCTCCGTGTACGACTTTTTCCCCGGCACAGCACCCTGCCTCAAGGAGCTATGAGTTGCCGCTGGGCTTCGACAGAAGGGAGCGAAAGACCTTGCTTGGAAACACCTTGGCTTTCCGATGCATGGTCCTGGCATGGTTTGCCTACCGTTATCAGGCACCTTCTCTTTTGGAACAACCACGTTTGAGCAAGATGGCATGGCTCAGCGCTTGGAGGTTTCTGCTGTCGTTGGGTTTCGAGGAGGCCATTGTCGCTTCATGTATGCTGGGCTCGATTCATCGAAAGGAGTTTAGGCTCTTGACCTGGGGCCTTGATGTCGCAGACCTTGACCTTCGCTGCAGTGGAGGACACAGTCACGTCCGCATCGAGGGAAAGTATACCAAGGAGAGCGCCATCTACACCGAGGGAGTTGCGCTTCACTTGGCAAAAGCTTTCGCCAAGAGCTTACAGGATGCAGAAGACCCGCGACCTCAAAACCTCCGCGGCCATGAGTCGGTCATCCTCAATGACTTGCTCATCGGAAAGAGATGGGAGGCTGTTGCCTCTTGGCCTTGGAAGTAGATTGCCCCACATCAACGTCCTGGAGAGTCAAGCCTACGTCTCTTTGCTGAGCAGGCTTGCTGCTAGAGGAGGATCTCCTCGCTTCTTGGCACTTCTTGATTCTCGTGTTGCAAAAGGAGCTCATGGGAAAGGTCGCTCTTCAGCAAGGACTCTCCAACGATCAGTACGACGGGCAAGTGCAATCACAGTTGCTGGAAACCTACATCCTTCTTTTGGCTTTGCGCCTACAAGATTGAATACAGCAGATGCTCCTACGAGGAACAAAGAGCTCCCACAGCCCTCAAAGCATGCCCTCATCGAATTCATGCATCCGGCAGATGCGTCGTCTCTTCATGCGCTCCAGTTCTCAAAGACGGCAGCAAATTGGATCCGGCTCATCCTCTTGGCTTCCTTTTGTCTTTGCCCTGAAGCTCAAGGAGTTGATGTTGCATCGGCAGTCGCTCACCTAAGCGCCACCATCTCAGATGTTGGTCCCTCACTTTGCTCAGCCTCATGCTGGACTCTCGAAAAGAGCCTCGGCGGCTCCGAGCCTTGGACTTTCGAACCTAGTGGCCTCCTTGGCTCTTCGTGGACTTCTGGACTCTTGCCTGGACTTGGCACTGAGGAACTTTCGACTTTGGTTCCCTCACCTTCCATGGACTTTTGGAATTCTGCCTGGATTTGGCGTTGAGGAGCTTTTGACTTGGCTCCTCCCAGTCGTCCTGCTCTACTCCTCATCTCGAGACGAAGGCTGGACTTTCCTATCCCCACCCTCCTGGGCAGGGAAAACCCCAAACTATGGTCCCTGGTTTAAAAAGTCTTCAGGTCCTGAGTCACATGTGCGCAGCCATTGCCACGGCGTGGGGCCGGTCATTTCCGCAGCCATGCCTTTGGAACCCCGAGGTCCTGAGGACCTAAAGCGAGCAGCCTTGAGATCGGCGACTGCTCTAGCCGCCGGCCGTGTGCTGAAACCGAGGACCCGCAGCCATCGGGATGTTTTGTTGCAGGAGTTTGAACATTGGTTGGTTGAGCATTTGCGCACTACTTTGTGCGCCCTGTTGGACTCAAGGTCCCTCGACGTCGACCTGGTCAATGAAGCATTGATTGGATACGGGAAGCAAATGTTCCATGCAGGCAGGCCATTCGGCCGGTTCTCAGAGACCATAAACGCGGTGGCACAGCGCCGCCCGGCTTTGCGCAGACAGCTAGGTCCCACTTGGGACCTGGCTTTCAATTGGGTCGTTGATGACCATCCTGCATTGCCCCTGTCGATGTTGCTGGCAGTTGTTGGATTGTCCCTGCTTTGGGGGCGGTCGCGTGAGGCCGCCATTTTTGGCCTGGCATGGGCTGGAATCTTGAGAATCGGGGAGATCTTTCAAGCTGTCAGGTCCGACTTGATTCTCCCTGGAGAAGCTGCCCCCGGTTTCAACTCCGTGATTCTCAAGATTCGGCAGCCCAAAACCAGAGGTACAGCAGCGAGACATCAGTGTTCGCGGGTTGACTACCCTGACATTGTTTTGTTGGTTGCTACAATGCTTCGTCCTCTACCACAAGCCGACCTGCTGTGGAACATGTCCCCAGAGACATTGAGGAGGAGGTTTGCCTTGGTGTTGAAAGCGCTTGGCCTGGACACCGAGAGAAAGCCAGGAAGAGCACCCTACAGCCTGGCCTCCCTCCGGCCAGGAGGAGCCACGCACTTGCTCCAGCAAACCGAGGACTCAGAGTTGGTGAGGCGGAAGGGAAGATGGCTGTCTTCTCGAGCGCTTGAAATTTACCTGCAGGAAGCTGGCGTAGCAACTTACACGTCAAGAATGTCGCACGAGGCGCAGAGCCGGATCGCCAGCCTTGCAGGAAATTTTCAGGCGATTTTGAAGAAAGCTGTTTTCCTGAAAGAACACCGCATTCCAGAGCGGTGTTGGGCGCATCTATGGTGAGCATGGCAATGGTGGGAAAGATGGAGTTGAGGTTGAAGCATGTCAAAGAGAGAACCCTCCTGACTGGTGGAAAACGGTGCGCGAGGTCCTGCTTCCTAGGAACGAATGCATGTGTTTCTGCCACGCTCAAGCATCCCGCCACTCCCGCCCTTTGATGCACGGTGGAGTTGAGGTTGAAGCATGTCAAAAAGACTGCCAACCCGAGAGAACCCTCCTGACTGGTGGAAAACGGTGCGCAAGGTCCTATATAGTAAGCACAGAAAGGTTAGCGCATGTCGGGTTTTACAAGCAGTTGCGTGTCAATACAGAGAACTTGCAGCACAATGTGAAACAGTTTCCCGACTGAGCAAGCAGCCGGACAGCCGCACGAACTCAAACATTATTAGATCCATAGTCCATAGTTATACTGTTATACTGTAGCTGGTTCACCTTTGGCCTCCTTCAACCCATCTCACATCTCATCCTAGTGGGATCCAGCGAATGCAACTTAAGCCGCGTTTCATTGTTCCATCATCCTTTTTAGGCAGCTTTTGTGGACAAGTTACGTTGGAGCTGTGAAAAGCGGCGTCTAAGGAAAGCGCCACGTTCCTGCGTAACAGGTCAAGCAGTGGCTTTTCTTGGAGTTGGCCAGTGGGAAGGCCAGTGGCTCTACACCTTGAATCTTGGCATTATATTTTTTGCATCATCAGTGCAGGCCATTGGCTTCCACCCCTTCAAAGGCAGGCACGCTTCGCAGGAACTAGTCATGTGTCATGTGTGTCCTGGTCGACAAGGGGGCACGCCACTGGCTTAATTCTGGCGATATGTGATATGCACATGATATGTTCTTCTGGAATTTGCTCAAGGAACAGGAAACGTCACAAAACATATTCACAGGAAGGGGTACATCCATGGGGAACATAAGAATCACATGAAGCAAAACCAGGCCTTGTGTTCTTCAGTCAAGCTCACCGCTTGAATGAGACTGACTCAGGATCCCTCCATGGGTCGTGCCGGGCGAGTGCTTCCCTGTCCGGCTGCCAGCGAATGTCTTTCAAAAAGACCGGCACACTTTAGTCTAGCTGCTAGCTCGCGCCTTTCGAAGAGCTCCCGGTCGGCTCATGGAAGCGGGAAGGATGTCGTTGAGTGCTATTTGGAGGAAGAATGTGTGAAAGGGAATGGATTCTTCATGATACTTCCATGAACTGCAGACAGGAAAGCAAACTGGCGCCCGAAACCTTCTGAAGAGGCAACGTAGTTGGAAAAACCAGCGAACTGCCAAAAGGCTGCTTCTCCGTCACATCCCAGTGAGGGCAGGCGGCTGAGGATCCAAATAGCAGTCCAAGCGGCTGGAAAAATGGACAAGGCCTCAGGGCTGAGGGCATCTACCAGAAGGTGAACAAAAGACAACAAAAGCTCGGGTCATCCCTTGTATATTCAATACTGCCAACGAGAACATCAATTGGGAAGACCTCCCTGTGGGCTGCCAGCCCAGAGACCCCACAACAGCTTATACCCAGGGTCGACCCAGTGTGAAACCTCATACATGCAGCGCAGGTGTGGTTGGTTCGGCCTATGATTTGTGTAGGTAACTATAGTTCAGACGGTGGAAGCAGCTTGTGCGGCAGTTCTTAATGAAGACCATTGACAGGACAGTGGACAATTGAGCTCATATCTGATCCAGGTGGTCGGAGGGTTCCAATATGGAGGTCCGCACTAATACTGGGATCTTCCCGACAAAGGTGGTGGAGGAGGTGATTTTGACCTACTCATTGTTCAGTTGCGAGATCGACATGAAAGATGACTTTGGACGGGTATTTCACAACCTCAGATTGAAATCCATGTTCCAGGAAAGCCCTATGGCCCATGTACGGACAGAAAATCATGCACATGGGCAAGATGCATATAGGCACTGAATGTTGTGCCGCATCGGTGACAGTGGCCACCGCTCCAAAATAGGGTGCCAACCAACCCACTGGTAAAAAGACAAATTCGTCTAAGGTCTGTGTTTTCCTGGGGCTTGTTTTTTGTTACTAGTAGCGATGCCCTTGTTACTAGTAGCTTCTTGTTCCTAGTATATAATTACGTAGTAAGGCCAGGAGCTACTAGTAGCGTCCTTGCTCCTAGTAGCGATGCCCTTTGTTAGGAGTAGCTTCTTTCTACGGGAGTGCGGCTCTTGTCCTGAGGGGAAATTCCTGCAGAACCTCATCTACCACGGGAGTCAACTGGAGCCCATTGATGAAGCGGTCGGCTTGGCACACGCCACGGGTGCTGGCTCCATGTTCAGTAGCGCCTGGGACCGCTGCAATTGTAGTTCTGGGAGTGCTTTTCGTTCCTTTTGAGCCCGGGGCCTCCTCGTTTTTTGTGCTCCCCGCTTCCGTACTAGAACTAAATTTGTTGGGTGCACAGTGCGCGCGAATCATCATCCTCATCATCCTGATCCGGATACGGCTCTCTGTCTGTGAATGGGACACGCAACCTGTTTAAGCTCAATTATGGGCTATTGTAGGTGCTTCAAGTGGGCCACTTGAGAACTTTGGCTCCCAAGGCATCTTCACACTGGTGGCATCAGCCATGGGTGCGGGCTGCTTGTCACTGCCACACATGTTCAGCAAAGCAGGCAAGGGCCCAGGGCAAAATTTGTCATCGGGCCAGCCTGACATACAAGACTGCCAGAGAAGAGTGAATGGAAGACTGGGAGGTTCTTTGTGCAAATCCTTGCAAGGCAAAAAGTAGCTATTCCTTCTTCCACTTGCTTCCCAAGACTTGAATGCTTTAAGGTACCTTGAATTAGGTATGCTGCGTCCAGGTGGCCATATGGCATGCCCCACTTCCAAACAGTCTGACAGTCTGGAGTCATTCTTGGTCCAGTGCGGCAAAAGTAGATTGCACAACTCCCATGTATAAGTTTGTCTTGGGGCGGTTGGAGGCATTTGCTCGGTGGGAGTTGCTCCCACGATTTGGCAGGCTTGGTGCTAGGGCTCAGCCTGTTGACGTGTGGAGCAGTCCTGGTGACCTGGAGCGAAAGATGGTTTTCCAACCGTCGCCCACTGTGACCATGTTGGACATACAACATTTGCCGACCCAGGCAGAAAGAGAAAGCCCCCCCCGCTGGGCGTGGCCCCCGAAAGACGTCGGTCCTCCAGGTTGTGGATTTTTTGAGCCTTGCAGCGTTTTGCGAAACGTCGTGTTCCACTATTCAATTCAACTTTCAACAGTTTTGGTCACTCGGCCACTGCTCTGCCTCTCAAAAAATGCATGTTTTGGGGTAAGTCGCACATGTGACCCTGATGCTCAGTCCGGCTCCAATGGTCATTTGGTGGGATCAGAACCAACAGGAAACCCACTTCGGCACATAGAGACAATATATATTCATTCATTCAAGGTAGGCAGGGTCGGTGATGAGGAAATATTTGTGAAGCTTCAAGTCAATGTCTCCCACGTTGCTTGGCTGCTCAAGCCAAAACTGGGAGACTCCCTTGAGGTGCAGTGCCACTGCAGACACCTCAAGATAAAAGTTTTTCCATTGCTGCCATGTCGATGGCCGCTGTCCACGCAGTGGCGAGCCGCCCATGGCATCGAAATGGTATCGGACTTGGCCTTCTACTTCATGTCCTATGGGGAGGCCACACCTCATCGGCCGACTACCTCGCCTACTTTGTCGTCGCGTCCGGCACCTTCGTGCAATGATTTCATCCTTTGCTGCAATGTCGCTTTACAACTTGAAGGCGCGGTGTGCAGCTGAGCAGGACTATTTGGACCGCTGGTACGCTGAGCATGGCATTGAGGCGGCCTCTGCTCTTGCTTCCTCCATCTTACGCGGCTGCTCTGCAGTCGGACCGGGCAGGGGCTAAAGGTTGACGCACGTGGCTGAGACGCAGGTTCCGAAGCCCTCAACAGGCTTCCTCTTGCCGTGCTGGCCCAGTGCAGGCCCTCGGGGAAGGACATGAGCCTGGCTGCAGTGCTGGGCAGGCTCTTGGGGGAGAATGTGAAGGACTTTGCTGGCCCTGTGCAGGCCCTTGGAGCTCGTGACCACGGCCTCCCTAGTCTGCCAGTTCTCCACTTTTCCAGTTTTCAATTCTCACTTCATTTCTTTCATTTCCAGAATGTCAGCTGTTTCAATCAGTGGGCTAACTCATTACTTCTGATTCCCTCACAGCGGCAATTCATGCGTCGGCACGCGGCGACCGTTGCAGCGTGTGCTCCCGAGTGGCAGTGAATGTCCATGCTGCGTCAGCGGCAGAGGGCCATACCCCGCGGTTCGGGGCTGGGATGTTTTCTCTGCATGCCCCCCAGTCTGAGGATGTCCTTTCTGTGTTTCCAGTGTTCAATTCTTGTTTTTCTGCATGGGCCTTAGTCAGGTTATGGACTTGGTCGCGCACCAGACTGAGGCTTTATGGAGTCCTTCGTCAGGTTACAACAAACTGTTCGTCCCTCGTGATGAAGTCTCTAATTTTGCCTTTTTCCGGACTGCCGGCCTGGACCGTGTCAGGAGCTAGGCACATGCGCCGCGGTCTACTGCGTGTGACGGCTACGTGATGAAGTCTTTGACTTTTCTATTTTTCAGGACTGCCGGCCTGGACCATGTCAGGAGCTGGTCACATGAGCCGCGGTCTGCTGCGTGTGACGGCTAGGCCTGCGAGTCCCTCATATTGAGGTCTTTGATTCTTCTATATTTCAGTGGCAGCAGTCTGCAGGTGGCCGCGGGTTACTGCAATTTTTGACGATGTCGCGTTTACTCCAATACCGACCTGCACGATTCCAGTCCAGTGGGTTTTGAGCAAACACTCATTTCGTCGCCAGCGACCTCGGGTGTTCGCTGCCGGCCGAGTACCACAGTTCAGGTCCACCAATTTTTCCGTTGCAATTTGATGTCTGATCCTCCTGGCCGCGGCCTGCCGGAAGCCAGATGATTTGCAGCTGTCGGCTTGGCTAAATGCTCTGGCAATGAGCAAATGGAGTGGTGCTATGTGCAGGATACCACTGCGTCCATGTCCATTTTACAGCCACACTTTTTGACCGTCCATGATGGCTGCTGTCTGCATGAGGCCCATGCTTTTGCAGCTGTCGGCTTGGCTAAATACTTTAGTCATGAGTCCAGATACCCTTCGTCAGTGACATTGCGGAGCAATGGTAGGTCCCTGCCACTGCGTTTGATCAATTTGCAGTACAAGAGTTGGACCTCTTTGGGTTACTGCACATCATTTTGTCATTTCCACTCCACCATAGTCATACGAAACAAAGACTCTCAAGCTTGAAAAAAAGGAAGGGGGCAGTGAATATTCATGCTGTATCAGCGGCAAAAAGGGCCATACCCCGGAGTTCGGGGCTGCGACGTTTTCTCTGCATGCCCCCCAGTCTGAGGATGTCCATTCTGTGTTTCCAGTGTTCAGTTCTTGTTTTTCTGCATGGGTCAGGTTATGGACTTGGTCGCGCTCCAGACTGAGGCTTTATGGAGTCCTTCGTCAGGTTACAAAATACTGTTCGTCCCTCGTGATGAAGTCTTTAATTTTGCCTTTTTTCCGGACTGCCGGCCTGGACCATGTCAGGAGCTAGGCACATGCGTCGCGGTCTACTGCGTGTGACGGCTACGTGATGAAGTCTTTGACTTTTCTATTTTTCAGGACTGCCGGCCTGAACCATGTCAGGAGCTGTTCACATGAGCCGCGGTCTGCTGCGTGTGACGGCTAGGCCTGAGAGTCCCCCATACTGAGGTCTTTGATTCTTCTATATTTCAGTGGCAGCAGTCTGCAGGTGGCCGCGGGTTACTGCAATTTTTGACGATGTCGCGTTTACTCCAATACCGACCTGCACGATTCCAGTCCAGTGAGTTTTGAGCAAACACTCATTTCGTCGCCAGCGACCTCGGGTGTTAGCTGCCGGCCGAGTACCACAGTTCAGGTCCACCAAATTTTCCGTTGCAATTTGATGTCTGACCCTCCTGGCCGCGGCCTGCCGGAAGCCAGATGATTTGCAGCTGTCGGCTTGGCTAAATGCTCTGGCAATGAGCAACTGGAGTGGTGCTATCTGCAGGATACCACTGCGTCCATGTCCATTTTCCAGCCACAATTTTTGACTGTCCATGATGGCTGCTGTCTGCATGAGGCCCATGCTTTTGCAGCTGTCGGCTTGGCTAAATACTCTAGTCATGAGTCCAGATACCCTTCGTCAGTGACATTGCGGAGCAATGGTAGGTCACTGCCACTGCGTTTGATCAATTTTGCAGTACAAGAGTTGGACCTCTTTGGGTTACTGCACATCATTTTGTCATTGCCACTCCACCATAGTCATACGAAACAAAGACTCTCAAGCTAAAAAAACAAAGAGGGGGGCAGTGAATATTCATGCTGTATCAGCGGCAAAAAGGGCCATACCCCGGAGTTCGGGGCTGAGACGTTTTCTCTGCATGCCCCCCAGTCTGAGGATGTCCATTCTGTGTTTCCAGTGTTCAATTCTTGTTTTTCTGCATGGGTCAGGTTATGGACTTGGTCGCGCACCAGACTGAGGCTTTATGGAGTCCTTCGTCAGGTACAACACACTGTTCGTCCCTCATGATGAAGTCTTTAATTTTGCCTTTTTCCGGACTGCCGGCCTGGACCATGTCAGGAGCTAGGCACATGCGTCGCGGCCTATTGCGTGTGACGGCTACGTGATGAAGTCTTTGACTTTTCTATTTTTCAGGACTGCCGGCCTGGACCCTGTCAGGAGCTGGTCACATGAGCCGCGGTCTGCTGCGTGTGACGGCTAGGCATGAGCGTCCCTCATACTGAGGTCTTTGATTCTTCTATATTTCAGTGGCAGCAGTCTGCAGGTGGCCACGGGTTACTGCAATTTTTGACGATGTCGCGTTTAATATCCCATACCGACCAGCACGATTCCAGTCCAGTGAGTTTTGAGCAAACACTCATTTCGTCGCCAGCGACCTCAAGTGGTAGCTGCCGGCCGAGTACCACAGTTCAGGTCCACCAATTTTTCCGTTGCAACTTGATGTCTGACCCTCCTGGCGGTCTGCCGGAAGCCAGATGATTTGCAGCTGTCGGCTTGGCTAAATGCTCTGGCAATGAGCAAATGGAGTGGTGCTGTCTGCCGGATAACACTGCGTCCATGTCCATTTTCCAGCCACATTTTTTTGACTGTCTCTGATGGCTGCTGTCTGCATGAGGCCAATGCTTTTGCAGCTGTCGGCTTGGCTAAATACTCTAGTCATGAGTCCAGATACCCTTCGTCAGTGACATTGCGGAGCAATGGTAGGTCACTGCCACTGCGTTTGATCAATTTTGCAGTACAAGAGTTGGACCTCTTTGGGTTACTGCGCATCATTTGGTTTTCTCAGTCCGTGGGCCGCCTCATTGCCTTCTCTCACAGCAGCATATCACGCGTCGGCGCGCGGTGACCATTGCAGCGTGTGCTCACACGTGGGCAGTCAATGTTCACGCTGCATCCGTGGCAAAGGGGGCCATACCCCGCGGCTTGGGGCTGCGATGTCGTCCCTGCATGGCCCCCCCCAGTCGGCCTGGTGTCCAATTGCTGCTTCAAGTTTTCAACTTTTCCTCTTCCGTTTTCACGAATGTCCGTCATTTCAGTCAGAGAGCCTAGTTGTGTTTTTCGGTCTCTCTCACAACAATGCGGTGACCGTTGCAGCCTGCGCTCAAGAGTGGCAGTGAAGGTTCATGTTGCGTTGACGGCAAAGCGGGCCATACCCCGCAGTTCGGGGCTGAGATGTCTTCTCCGCATGGCCCCCCGCGCCTTTCTCCAGTTTTATTGTTCTGATTTTCCGATTTCGCGGATGTCCATTGTTTCATTCAGTGAACAGCAAGCCGGGGGCCATACCCGGCAGCTCTCCATTCTTTTTGCAGTTTTCCATTCTATTTCTGCGATTTTAAGGATGTCAATTGTTTCACCGCGGCATATCACGCGTCGGCGTGCGGTGACTGTTGCCGCATGTGCTCACCAGTGGCAGTGAATGTTCATGCTGTGTCAGTGGCGGAGGGGACCATACCCCGCGGTTCGGGGCTGGGATGTCTTCTCTGCTGGCCCCTCCCTCCGGTCTGCCAATTCTCCAATTGTTCTTTCAAGTTTTCAATTTTCTTTTTCAGACTTCGCGACTGTCCGTTATTTCAATCAGTGGGCTAGCCCAGTTTTTCTTTTCTGTCTCGCTCAGAACGGCATATCATGCGTCGGCGTGCGGTGACCGTTACAGCATGCGCTCGCGGGTAGCAGTGAATGTTCCTGCTGCGTCAGCGGCAAAGGGGGCCATACCCCGCAGTTCGGGGCTGAGATGTCCTCTCCGCATGGCCCCCCGTGCCTTTCTCCAGTTTTATTGTTCTGATTTTCCGATTTCGCGGATGTCCATTGTTTCATTCAGTGAACAGCAAGCCGGGGGCCATACCCGGCAGTTCTCCATTCTTTTTGCAGTTTTCCATTCTATTTCTGCGATTTTAAGGATGTCAATTGTTTCACTCAGTGGGCCGACTCATTGCTCTCTGTTTCTCTCACAGCGGCCTATCGCGCGTCGGCGTGCGGTGACCATTGCAGCAGGTGTGCGCGACGAGTGGCAGCCCAGGTTCATGCTGCCTCAGCGGCCACGGGGGCCATACCCGCAGTTGTGAGCTGAGATGTCTTCTCTGTATGGCACCCCAACCTGCCAGATCTCTATTTCCGAGAGTTTTCAATTCTGAGTTTTCCGATTTCAATAACATCAAGTGTTATATCATGAGTCGGCGTGCAGCGACTGTCGCGCAGCAGGTGCTTTCGGATGGCAGTGGCTGTTCATGCTGCGTCCGCGAGCTGAGATGTCTTCTCTGCAGGACCTTCCCCAATCTGCCATTTTTCCACGGTTCAAGCTTTCAAGTCTTACCCTTTTCCGCTTTGAATTATGTCAGTTGTCTCAATGAGTCCGCTGCAACCCATTGCTGTCTGTTTCTCTCACAGCAGCATGTCATGCGTCGGCGTGCGTTGACCGCTGCCGTCAGTGCTCACGAGCTCCAGTGAATGTTCATGCTGTGTCCGCGGCGAAGGGGGCCATGCCCCGGAGTGCGGGGCTGAGATGTCTCCTCTGCGTGGCCCCCCCAGTCCGCCAGTTCTCCCATTTTTCCAGTTTTCAATGGTATCGCATGCGTCGGCGTGCGGTGACCGTTGCAGCCTGCGCTCACGGGTGGCAGTGAATGTTCATGCTGCGTCCGCGGCAAAGGGGCCATACCCCGGCGCTGTCTCTTCTTTCAATCAGTGCGCCGACCCACATCGGGCTCTCTCACATTCACAATCATGTGTCGGCGCGCGGTGGCCGTGCAGCATGTGCTCATGAACGACAGCGAATGTTCTTACAGACAATGGGCAGCACTCGGGCTATCGATTTTGTGGTAATGGCCATGGCGCTGTTGATCGGCAAGGCAAGGCGCGCCCGCGCCTACTGTTTGCACAAGGCCAACCATGAGGTCTTCGAAGCAGTGGCGGCACTCTAACCGTTAGCACTTCGTTCCATGGGCCAGGAGCTGTGTGAGGTGGCGGATCGGCTAGGCAGGATGTCAAAACCTGAGGAGTCCGACCTGCCCGCGTTCTGAAAACACTTTTCGGTCCATTTGCCCATGTTAGTCGTTAGTAGTTTTGTTTTTAAAGTCTTTTACAATGGTCACTTCAGCCTATTGGACAGAGACGTGTCTTCCAACAGCCTAGACAGTTTGCAGAACCCCTATCATTTCCTTGTAGCCAGGACTTCGTCTCCCGCAAGCCCGCTGCCTACAACCCCGCCAGCGACGAGTGCAAGTATGGGCCGCCCGGCCCATTGGCTCAGGATCGTTGGGCAAACTCCTCCAGGCAGTCATGCGGGAGCGTGTCGTGCTTTGCAGTGATGGGGCACATCCGAGACGGTGCACAGCTATGCCCCGACTTCCAGAAGGGTAAGTCTTACTATGGTGCTTGCAATGAAAAATGGTGGTCAACCTCAAGATTGCCCAGGACTTGGATGTGTCTCGCCCTGCTGTTTGCGGGGCATTCAGCGAGGTTACCCCAGGTGGCCACTATATGCGTGGTGCTACGAAATTACGGGCTCCTGAACCGTTTGGCCGATTGGAACAATTCTTTTTCTCTCACAGTCTCACAGCGGCATACCATGAGTCAGCGTGTGGCAACCAGTGCAGCATGTGCTCACGAGTGGCGACGAATGTTCAGGCTGAGTAAAGGGCAGAGAGGGCCCTATCCCGGAGTTTCGGGGACGAAAAGTCTTCTCTGCATGGCCCCCACATTCTGCTAATTCTCATTTTTCCAAGTTCTCATTTTCACTGTTTTCTTCGAGTTCACGAATTTCAGTGGTTCCAATCAGTGGGCCGACTCAGCGCTTTCTCTCGCAGTGGCATACCATGCGTCGGCATGCAGTGACCGTTGCGGCATGTGCTCCCGTGGCAGTGAATTCTTCCTGCTGCGTACACAGCAACAGAGGGCTCGGCCCCGGCGTTCGGGGCTGAGAGGCCTTCTCTGCGTACTGCGATGGCCTCGCTGTACAGTACTGGTCAGCCTGAGGGTTCAGGCCAGTATGGCTGCGCGATTCTTGGGCTGCTGGTGCTTCCTGCTCATAGGATGGTTTGGCACACTGGGCCGGTAGGGCCTGTCCGGGATCCACGACCGTCCGGGCCAGATTTGCTCATGTGCTCTCAATCGCGGTTCCTTCACAACGTCGCGACCCTGTGCTGACCTTGCCCCGAGGTCGCAGCCATCGCCCCAAGTTGGACAGAATGGCTGGTGCCATTCACGGGTCTCTTGTCTGCATTAAGTGGATACAGTCTAACTAAGGTCGACTGGAGCAATGGAATTTTTGCGGCACCTGGCCATCTGTGCGACCCTGTCTGGTTCTGGGCCTGTGGACACCTGCACCAGGTATGATTGCGAAACTCTTTGGACACTTGGGCTTCCTGACCATCGGATGGCTGGGTATAGTGGGCCAGTCAGGCTTGTCTGGGATCGCCATGTGTTTCAGGGAAAACGTCGCGACTTTGCTTGTGTTAAGGGTCAGAGATCGCAGCCCTCACCCCGATTTGAAAACAATGGCTGGTGCCATTCGCGGTCGGTCTCTCGTCTGCATTACGTGAATACAGTATATCGGATACAGTCTAAGGTCACCTGGAGCGAAGCAAACTCCATGACGTGGCACCTTGCCACCTGTGCGAACCTGTCTGGTTCTGGGCCTGTAGACACTTTCCCACTAAGGACCAACGGTAGTATGGCTGCGAATGGGCGCTTGGGCATTTGGTTCATCGACAAGGTGGCGGCCCTCATGGCCCTTACCCGGGGTCGTACTTGCAAAGAACAGCGGGAAGCTATGGTAAGCAGGACCCCTGGATCTCTTGCGGGCGAATACATGGTCCACTGTTTGCCCTACGGAGCTCCTGCTATTTCGAGTGGGTGCAGAGCAAAGACAACTGGTCGGACGGTATCAGCCGGAAAGGGGCACAGGACCTATGGTTTCAACGTCATGGTTTTGCACTATATCACACCTACCCCTCGCTCATGCTCCTCCAGCTGCCCTACCACATCAGTGCCAAGGTCTTTCTCTACGTCTAAGTGCTTTGGATGCCTTTAGTGCCTTGGATGGAGTGCTCCCACGGGGAGAGTGTCAGATGTCAGATGACGCACGCGACGCGGGTCGCTTTTCAAACCAAAGCACTTAAAGTACAGACAGTACAGACCTTGAGCCGGTTCGGAGAAAAATGTAGCAGCTGCTGAATTCACGTTGATTGAAGTTTATCAAATATATTCATTCATTCAAGGTAGGCAGGGTCGGTGATGATGAAATATTTGTGAAGCTTCAGGTCAATGTCTCCCACGTTGCTTGGCTGCTCAAGCCAAAACTGGGAGACTCCCTTGAGGTGCAGTGCCACTGCAGACACCTCAAGATAAAAGTTTTTCCCACCCTGCCACACCCTTTTTGCCGCAGCTTTCGTCATGACTCAGTTCTCCACCATGTCACTGGTCTAGCTGGTGGGCGACTCGGCAGAATGCCTAGAGAGTCTGTCTCTTCAACCTGAAGGTTGGCTGGCCGATGCTGACCATGGCTGCCAGCTTGGGGTCCTCACGCATTTTGTTCGCTCCCTTTGTTGGGACACCGCTTTGTGAGCTCGACGTCTCAACCAGACCCATTTTAATGGCCCGGCTGCCTGCCCCAGGCGGACGCTGCGCTGGCTGCCTTGGTGTCCTTATTTCTGGATGTTTATTGGTTGACCGTCAGTTCATGCCACACGGTCACACGGGTTGCTGCCCGCGGTGTGTACCGTCTGTATGCCCTTATTCTTTCCCTTTTAGTTTTAACATTTTAGCTCTGTCCAGAGCTGTCATCCGTAGTGGCCGTAGGACCGCCCCTGCGGGATCCTCTCGGTCACACTAAACGGATGGAGTGCTCCCACGGGGAGAGTGTCAGATGTCAGATGACACACGCGACGCGGGTCGCTTTTCAAACCAAAGCACTTAAAGTACTGACAGTACAGACCTTGAGCCGGTTCGGAGAAAAATGTAGCAGCTGCTGAATTCACGTTGATTGAAGTTCATCAAATATATATATATATATATATACACATTTATTTATGATGTTGTTATTGATATTACATGACTAAATGGTCATCGATGTAAATTGCAGAGTTTTCTCCACCCACTCCCACCTCGCCAAGGCTCATGTGTCTCTGGTGATTTTGATGAGCTGTGCCCGATACACGCAGAGTCGTAGCTTTGCGGAGCTGGTCTCGAACTTGCAGGAGGATCAACTGGATCCACGGATGCATGGGCTCGGACACGTTGAGAAAAGATGGTGAGTGGGACGTGCGACGCATGCACATGAGGCATATGCCAATTTCTGTGGACCACGGGTATGTGGTTTAACGAGACTTGAAAGTGGGCAGGCAGTAGTAAAGTAGTACAGCTACGAGACGAGATGCAGATAATAGTCCATTTCTCTGAACTCAATTGTTATATATATATATATATATCGATCTAGATACCGATAGACTAATTGCAGACCTCTCAACTTGAGAGTGCCATGTGCACCCTTCGCTTTCCTGGTGAAGTCTCAGCGTTTTTTCTGAAATCTACTGTATTTGTGTCGTTCCTCTTCAGGATGCTTGAGCGCACACGCTGAGGACGGGCCAGTGAGGGACCTGTCCGTGGACATCGTCATCACATTGTATGGAATGGCAGCGGTGCTTATCTACATGATGCTGATTGGTGATTTCATGTCGGACATAGCACCGTAGACATCCAGACGCTGACAGAAGTTTGCCTCGGCTTTGTGTTTCACAATTCAAGGCATCTCTCTTGAACTTAACTTGTAAGTCAGGTTAAGGTGTAGTTGGCGGTGTCATTCTTTAACAACTCCATGTCACTTTGTTGGTGCTTTTTGGGGTTGTCAACAGAAAGTCCTCAAACCATGTCGCTCCAAAGCGCCTTGTGCCTCCAAACACGCCAAGCGTCGCGCCAAACGCCCTCGCTGAGGCTCGATCGCCTTTGTTTGATTTGGAGGCCGGACCGGACCCCGCGGAGACGGACCGTGAACGGGTGCCAGACCGGTTTCGAGTAGGTGCCACTCTTGGGCCACCCGTGTTAGATGTGGCAAACGGAAGATGTGAAAAGCCAGATGTAGAGAGCAGTGAATTCTGTTGGAGGCGCTGCTGATTTTATAGGCTCCGTGTTCCATGATGAGGTGCCTAGACACTATGTGATTTTGGCCTCCCTCACCGTGGTCTTTCCCTTGTCCATCCCTCGATGCTCGGCACGCACAATAGAGACAGAGAGAGGGGCGTTGGTAGGAGAGGGAACGCAAGATCTGGCCAGGTCCGACCTGGCCGCACTGCTAACACCCGCTTGAAAATCGGCGGACACCGGGTTCAGCAGCTGGATCCTCTCAGGAAACGTCACCGCCTTGAGATACATCTCCTTCCTGAGCATCAGCTCCTTGGCTGCGTCAATGCAACGAATGGGCCCCCTTGCCCAGGCACTGTTTGAACACTTCTTCATTTGGGTGTTGAGCATCTATACATTGCCTCCAGCCTCCACCTTGAGGATTTGACTTGATCACTTGGCAATAGGGACGGCATCTGTCAATCTTGGATGTGGGGGCTTTGTCAACAGGCTACCCTCCAGCAAGACAAACATCTGATATTTGATCTCGGTCTCACCCAGTTGAACTTCATCTCAGACAGCAGATGCCAATCATAGGGCCTAGGATCTGTCCTTTTTGCACAAAGAGTTGGGCAACCCGAGTCACCTGCCACTGCTTTGGTGAGGTGCCATCACCTTCCTCACCCTGGTGGTGGCGGCTAAGACTCCGGAGCATTTGGCAGACCTCGAGGGCTCGAATGACAGCAGCGGGACCAGCGTGCAGACAGCCGCTGAGCAAATGATTTTCACAAGGGCCATGAGGGGAAGGACTCCTTTATGGCATACGTGGTGCCCGATCATGCAAGGACCCGGAAGATCTCACATTGCCTTGGAAACAAGTGCTTATCTACCCGAGCAAGAAGAGTCACACAGACAGACACAAACACACTCACACACAGCTTGGACCTGGGGCTTTTTTTGGCTTGAGGTTGCTGAACTCGACATGCTCCAGTATCAATGGCACATGTCCAGATTTTTTGAGAGCTCGCCACTGTGAGCGTGCGCCTTTAAAAAAAGAAAAATAAATAACTATATATATATATAGATCATAGGAGGAAACATATAAAGATGCAATTGCAACATAATCAAAGCAACACTGCAGACCCCATGGCCAGAGAGTCAGATAGGACAGAGGCCCCAATGGGGTTTGCAGTCCTTTTTTTGATCTCTCAAGTTTTGTTTGAATTTGTTTTTAAAAGAGGTTTTCTATCAGATGCTCACGGATGCTCACAGCTCACAGATGCAGTCACTGTTTTGCACACGCTGGTGGTAACGTGTTCTGATCTTTTTTCTATTTTCGGCCATTTTTGTCCTTCAGGTATTGCAGTGCTTTGCCATGGCACTTTTCTCCTTCAATGCCCATACCAACGCTGCTCTTTGGCTTCACGCTGATGTACATCCCAGCCGGAAGTCGCAGCTGAGTAACTCACAACGTGGTATACACCCACGGCTCGGATTTCAGTGTCGAGGCAACAAACACCCTTACTCAATTGCTCCGCTTATGATATCTTATGACCGTTTTCATCTTCGCGAAGGGAGATTTCACATACACGTAAATATGAATGAACCAAAAGGAAGCGCATGGCAGACATGGACAAAGGAGTCTTGTGCACAGAGGCGATCAGTCTTGGGCCGACGCTGAACTCGCCACACCGTGAAGGGGAAGACCAGCTTCCATTCATTTCCCTTTGCCCTTGACATGGACAGACCCGATCGGGCGTGCCAGACAGAGGTTCCGGTGGCGTTGTCCTTGGACCAGCCGCGTGCCACGCGGATTTGGCATGTCTCGCTGGTGTCGGTGCTAATTGAGCTGCTCGGTGCCGAGGAGTGAAGGGGGTCAGATGTGGAGTTTTTCCTCCAGATACGCCATGTGAAATTCCATCCGGAAATCCATGGATCACTTCACTGATAGA